AATATTAAAAATATGTTTTGGAGATCACACAAAAAATGGAATAACAACATCTTGATTTTTTTTTTAATCAGAAAAATCATGGCTGGGGAGTAATGCGGATGTATTCTTTCCCAGATGGCACCTTTGTAACTGTAAATCCATTTGGGAAAAGTGTCTTTGCTGCCTCTGTTGAAAGAGTGGGAAGTACCATGCAGTCACCTCCTTTCTGCAACATAGTGGAAAAGATAGTTTAAATGGTGGAACTCTTTATTAATCATTTTACTCACTGCACATCAGTTTCATACTAACCTTCCAATCGGCTGGAGTTGCTACCTTTTTCTTCTCAGTTAGTTGAATAGAATCTATAATGCGGAGAATTTCACTGGCAAGGGGAAAAGTTATGAAGAAATCATGGTCAGGTTTATAAATTTACTTGTACATAATAAAATAGAGATGTCTCAAAGCAAGGAATAGACAACAAACTTACTCAAAGTTTCTTCCACTTGTTGCAGGATACAAAATTGACATCCTGAGTTTTTTGTTCGGATCCACTAAAAAGACCGCTCGGCAGGTAAGCGGCAATCCATTGGCATCTTTCTCCAAAGGATCCAACATACCCAACTGAACAGCCAGCTCTCGTCCTTCATCAGCAATGATAGGGTACGGGAACCCATCTACTTCTACGCCCGCAAAGCTTTTAATATCCTGCAAAAAAATTTGATGGTAGTAAGATGACAGGAGATCTTATTCCAATCTACTCACAGTAAACTTACTTCTGTCCACAATTTATGAGATGACACAGAATCACATGAAAGGGCAATAACTTTTACATTGCGAGCAGTAAATTCTGGGAGCAGTTTCAAAACTTTTGCAAGTTCAGTTGTGCACACAGGAGTGAAATCAGATGGGTGAGAGAAGAGGATACCCCAGCTGAAACAAAGAATATACACAAATGATATAAGATAAGTTTGATGAATCAGTCACATATGTATTTCATTCAGCGTGCAACTACATACGATTCTCCAAGCCACTCATGGAAATAAATTGATCCAACAGTAGTGTCAGCTTTGAAATTCGGAAATTCGTCTCCCAGATTCGGCATTTTGCAGACCTGTCACCAGACGACAGGAGGTTATAAAAGGTATCAAAATACTCGGAAGAACAGTCTAGAAAATGAAAAACACATGATCAAGCCTTACCGGAGCAAGACTCGGCGTACAACAGGAGTTAAACAAGACTATCAAGACTCAAGATAGATAACGTTCCTGTGAAAATGTAGTTGGGAGCAAAGTGTGAGTCATAAATGAATGAATGATGTTTGTGTAGTTTTTGTTTTCATACCTAGCTTGACACAGCCCTTTCGTTTTTGAAAAAATACAACCCCTTCCTTACACATGTTATCCATCTGCTTAAAAAAAAAGAGAGAGAGAGAGACAATTAATTTCGTTCTTCTTAAGAGAATTGCTGATAAGTTTCACTTTGTTCTTTTTATTATTTTATTTGGTTTGATATGAGAATAGCGTTCTGATCATTTATTCCTCGAGTAACAAGGTCAACAGCTGGTCGTAATTATTTTTTGTATGTTGGGTACGGTAGGTCATCCTCACACACCCTCTGTCGTCTGCTCGCTGATCACTGTTCTGTTTTCTGTTTTGAAAAGCAAAGAGCATGTTCTCCAGATCCAGTTTCAATTTCTAAGTTTAGCGTCGTGTAGTTTCATTAAAACAGTGATATTCTGATTATCAGTGAGCTATCATTCAATTGTGCTTTTAAATTGGAAGACAGCTGGAACCATCGTGTAACTTTAACCTTCACTCCACCAGAAGATCAGCTGATGAAATGTTGACGTTGGTGAATAGATGTGCTAATAGATTTTTAGCCATACACTCTGCCCAAAGAAGTGTTGTCTTTTTATCATCAGAAAGTGATGCAGTTCCAAGCAAAAAGAAAAAGAAGCCACCTGAAATCCGAATAAATCTAATAGAGAACACAAGTTTGAATGTTATCAGTTTGGAAGGAGCGAAGAAACTTGCAGCGAAGAAAGGAGTTCAATTAGTTCCAGTAGATAATCCTGCTCACTGGATGCATTCGGGCAACAGGACACCATATGAATTTCTAACTCCATCAAACAAAGTATCTAAAAAACAGGATGATTTTAAAGCTCAAGGCTTTAAAGGTTTAAAGACCACTATTTTTAGCTCTACTATTCAAGAAAATGATATAGCTACAAAAATTAAGCAGCTATCCAAATGGATTAGAAATGGTTATGTCATTGAAGTTGCCTATGACGTTTCTGAGAAGTCAAATGTAAGTATACTATTGCAATGTTCTCTCTATCACCTGTAAAGTTTCAAGTAACTCATCTTCTTTAATTTTCTAGGATATACGTGCAAAGGTAGAAAATACGATTACAGATGTAGCAAAATTGCCTGGTAATATCAAGAGGCAATCCAGTAGTCTGTTACGAATTCAGTATGTACCTGAGAAGACACTGAATGAAAAGGAAAACTCACCAGTAACTCGAGACAATTGAAGTAGTTAATTTGAATGAACTGAAAAATATTATAAA